TAATACACTTCACAACTTTCACAATCCATTCTAAGCAGTGCTACTTTAACATAATGTTGATCACAGGTCAGACAAGTTCTTTCACTCATTGTTTTATTGTTTCTCTACTTTCTCTGTTCTCATTTTTTTCATTTTCTTCTGTATTTTACGAAGAATTTCCTGAACGTAGCAAACAAAAAAGATAATTTTGGTAAATAATGGAAAGAGTTGATTTTGACAGCAAAAACATGATTCCACTTCAATATTTCCGGCATTCTAATTACCGCCCACTCTCCGATGTACTCTTCTTAGAGAATTGTTACAGTGAACTTACAACTTTGAAAGTTAAAAGTTAAAAGCAAATGTTGTTATGTGTAAATTATATAGACATAAGGGTTTTATATTTAAGTATATAATAAAATGCGTAAAAAGGCCTGCAGAATAGGCGCAGAAAGTGATCAAACAGTGGAAGTAATGAGGCAAAATGAAATAGCTAATAGTGAATATACAAACCATCAATGATCCGTGAAAGTCGGTGTAGCACTAATAAGTAGGAAAGCAAGGTCAATTCTCAGTAAAATTTTACTAGTAAGTCGTGAGAGGGGAAAATGGACAGCAACCGCTCAGAAACTACGCTACAAGAAAGGTAATTACAATAGTGCGTAATAAGTGCAAATCTTTACAAAATATATTTGAACTTGTAAATAGACCTTGTTCAACAGTGCGTCCAATATTTGATAGATTTTATTTTCGTAAAACCGTAATAAATCATCCTCGAATAGGAAGTTCAAAAGTAATCACTGAAGCAGTTAAATGAAAAGAAGAAAGCTTAAAACAAATTAAGAATGCCCCCAAAATTATTACTATGTAATTGGGATAGGAATTAAGAAAACGTGATGTTGAAGTATCAGCTAGAACAGAGTGCAATATTCGTAGAGGTAAAAGCGTTATGCCTGGAAAATATTCTTGGTGAGTAAAGAAAATTGTATTAAATATTGCAAAACAGAAACAAAGTAAAGGATCGGACATCTGAAATCGAGTTATATTTTCAAGAAAAACCAAAAATTACATTTTTGGCTCCGTCGAGAGACGGAGACAACCTTAACAGAATTGCACCCTCGATATCGTGTACCTTCAAAGAAACATAATGGCAGTTCCATGGTAATACGGGTGTGAGTGAATACTTCAAGAAAATTTTTCGTGTGAAGCACAAGATGCATATACAGATGGACCACCTAAGTTGGGCACAGCAAATATGTTGAAAACAGTTTAAGGTATCGAGACGCTATTTGCATCATGTTGTTGCAGACGATGAGCCAAATAACATGTATTATTTTTTTGTTTGTACTGTATATAATTTTTAGAGTTATTGACACAACTTTGTTTTTTTTTAATAAAAATATTTTTTCTACGTCATTCTAAAGTTCTTTAAAAATGAAATACAATGATATAAATATTGTTAATAATCGATTAGTATTTTTTGCAAAAACAATGCAGTTAAGACTTGGTAAACGCCATGCCGCAGCGCGGAAGGACAGCTAACCTTCCTGACATCATAGTACATGAGTCGACGCATCTTATCGGAAAACGAGAAAGATCGTCGATTACGGACTTCCTATGCTGGTAATGCTGATGGTCGGTTTTGGACTTTTACAAGTTTTACAAGCGCAAGGAAATAGGGGTGTTCACATTGGTTTTAGTGGAGATGTTGTATCTAAATATCTTTATTAAATTTACATTTGGGGAGCCTATCGTATTCCTGGGAAAAAGAAACTAACACGTGTACACTGAGGAGAAATCCAGTACATTTATTTCCTCTTATTTAATCACTTTGTAACAATGCTGTTGCAAAGTTGTAATTTGAAATAATTCAAAACAGAATAAAACATTAATGAATGAATTCTTAACGAACGAAACGGTGAAAATTGAAAAATAAAGAGAATACCAATATTCAAAAGAACACGCTTACATTAAACGTCTTGGAAAAATCCTCGTGTGTCAACATGACAGTAGTCGGAAACATAGAGCTTTCATTACTTCATTGGGGCTGCTCTTCAACTCCAAAAATCAAATGTATCCACATCTCAGCTTAATGAATTAACTTATATAAATACGGCAGCATGTTTGGAATAAAAAAGGACAAATTCAGTGGGCTAATAAATAAAATTTAATCATGTCTCTAATGACAGATGAATAATTGAACATGGTATGAAAGATTATTGAAATCATGCGCAAACGTGGGTTGACAGTAATCAAAGCAAATAGAAACCCTACACCGTATTAAATGGAGTCATATTTTTGATAAACATAACTGTACGATTACTTTTTGTGCGTTCAATATCGGGATGTGTGTGTGTGTATATATATATATATAATTGATTTTTTAATGTTTTGAGCTTTTGTAATATTAAGGAATAAAAATTAGTTTTTCTGTAGTCTTAATTCTGTTATCTGAAGGTGTCCCATCAACTATGGACGACCCCTATATTTTCTAAACGGTTCAGGATATCAAAACGCAGTTTTCATTGAACAATTTGGAATCATGGGGCAAGTAACATGCCGTTAAGAAATCGACTGTAAGATTTTTAGTTTTCAAGAAATTTGATCATCTTTGATTTTTTAAATGGAACTATATATTTTTTCACTTGCAATAGATAGATCATAAAAAGATGAATAAAATAATATATCATATGTTAATATTTTGATAGTAGTTTGAATATAAAATTAGACTATTTGTCACGTGATTTTTAAGTGAACGGACAATATTTCTTGTAGCAGCCCTTGCAACTCTCGCCTTCAGGAGAAGGTGACCTTCGCGGCGAAGGTGGAGAGTTGCGTGGCCTGGGAGACTGGAGGGTGGTGGCAGCGAGGGATAAGAGGCATAACTACAGCAATCCATGGTTCTGAAACAGAGGTTACACTAAGAAACATCAATTTTAACGATCAGAAAGATTTTTTTTCATTGATTCATCTGGTTTTAACTTGTCTTCTACTGAAATACTAAAACATCGAACATTCATTCCAAAGAACAATATAGAAAACTTGGTAGCGTAAGGAAGATTATAATAATAAATAGTATTTCGCAACATGATTAGAATCCAACCAGTGTCTCTTCGTTAGTAAATTTCATTTCTAATTAAGATGGTCACTCGTCCGCTTTGCAACCCTACGGCTACTGCTGTTCATAAATGGAAAATAAACCAGTACACTTTCGTCTCCTGACGCGTTTTTTCATGTTTGAGGCGGCATGTGGCGCTATGAAGTGAGAAACCCTCTAATCAGTATTAGCAGTTGCGACTGCAGATGTGCATTTTTGTTAAAATTTAGTAAATTGACACTGATAGAACTATTACGAGTATTTCAAAATTTTATATTGCTTTGTTTTTTGGTACGTATTTAAATAATAAATTTATTAACAGTAATAAGAGAAAATGTCTACCTATTTTTTTGATAGTTGATGAGTTAATCAAGGTAATACAATGAAACATTTTAAGCATTCATTTCCTTCCCATGTTTTAAAGTGATGGCTTGTTTCTGCCATAACACACACTGAAGTCCATTCAAGTAAATTTGATAATGTTTTTATCGTCCTTCCGCAACAATTGTTTTTTTAATGTTTTTTTTTCGATTCTCGTTGATTTAGAATTTTAGAAGAATGTTTGATCGTATGTTCTTCATGTCAAGACCATGGATTGCTGTAGATACGCCTGTATCCTTCACGGCCACCCCTCTCACTCTCCTCTCTACACGAAACAGTCTCGACGCCGCGAAGGACACCTTCCCCAACGGCGACTGTTGCAAGGGTTGCTACAGGGAATATTGTGCGAAAACGTAAAAAGCACATATTGGAAAGTGTAATTTTATTCTCAAATTACAATCGAAATACTAACATATGATACATCATTTCATTCCTCTTTTCATGATTTATCCATTGCTGGTGAGAAAAATATATAGTTCTATTTAAAAAATCAAAGATTAAATTGCTCGAAAACTAAAAATATTATAGAAAATTTCTCTACGGCATAATACCTACCCAATGATTCCACATTGTTTAGCGAAAACTGCATTTCGATATCCTAAAGTATTTAGAAGTTATGGGGATGGCCCATAGTTGATGGGACACCTATGGATATTTCTTTACCTCCCCTTTCATATTCTGTAGATGTTTTTGGATTTTCTTTAGGTTTACGATTACTTTTTGCACTAATAGTATTACGTAATGTTCTCTGCTGTTCGTTTACGTTCTCTCCATTTCCATCACTTTTGCAGTGTTTGCAATGCTTGTATTGGAGACCTTCTTGCAGTGGTGGATTCAGGGAGGGGGCTCGAGTGTCACGCCCCCCCTCCCCAGTCAATATTTTTTGTAAATATTTTTGTAAATTTTGTAAATTTGTTTATGTATTATTTCAAATATATTGGCGGGTTTAAATTGAATTTGGCTCTTCCCTGAAATACTCTTACCGGGAGGTCCTAAGAATCGTATCCCGACGGTGGCAGAGTTTTCGACAGTAGCTAGACAACTAGGTCAAATACAGTTGCTGTCCGGAAGAGAATTCTAGCGGTCGGCTGCTCTGATCGGTTTTCCATAGTTTCTCCGATCACCACCAGGTTAATACAGGAGAGCATAAACGGGCCACGAATCGCGCATGATTTTTCCTTATTTTTCTTTATCCTCTCCTCACCCCTTAATTTCATACACTTACTCACACACACACACACTACCACATTTGTCTGCAAATCGGTCATCAGTTGACGCGCCAGGAATCACTAATTAATCAATCCCTTCAAAATTCTTTCAAGATCCCCACTGCGTTTGCGACACCATCACCATTCGCTCTCTCCTATAGAGGAGTTACTCAAAGAAGGGACAACTTTGACAGGTCGGGAAGCAAATAAACGTCATGCAGGGCGATGCAACTACAAGAGATAGTGGTGAAGCCATTTCAAATGAGCTAACTGTAAACGAACGCACTGACAAAATGAGTGCATTGCCCTAACCTGCAGTTATGTTGCCGGTAGTTGGCCAAGCCGTGGCTCTCAAAGCGGCCCCTTCTTAAAGTAATCTCTCAATACCTGTATCCTTGGCGCCTTCCCCGCGCTCTCAAGCGTCCTCTCCTCCCCCTCCCCCCCCCCTTCCGCTGGCTTCCGCGTGCGCGCACTGTCTGCGCCCGCAGCGCCGCGCAACTTCGTCAAACTGAATTAAACTTTCTCTTTCCCGCAGAACTTCCTACGGCGGCGTAGCGCCCATTAATATAATTAGCTTAGTGGTTTAATTGTTTGGATTTCGCCGTAATTTAAGGACAATAGTAAATTAGAGCGGAAACTTGTTTGCTTGCGGTTGAATCGCGTCTCTGTCCGGCTTCGCGAAATATTTAGTCCGCGTAATAAAATTATGCGGCAATAGCGACGCTATTCTTGCCGCGCGGAGCTGCGGCAATTGGCTCGAAAGACGAGGATGTCAAAACGATTTCTCTGTTCTGTGTTATTAACTCGTTTGCTAAGAAAACGAATTCGTAATTGCTTCTGCAGGGGTTGAAAGTTGAAGAGACGCGAAGATTCACTTAAAACTGCTAAGTGATCGAAATATGTAAATTTGAGGTTGTGTATTTTACTGGAGGTCTGTTGATGTGAAGTTTTGGAGTAGAGTGTTGAGATTGGTAAGTGGCGTCGTGTCAATTTATCTTCTCTTTCGGTTTAATGAGCATTTTCTAAGGGCATTGCTTCGCGTGCTTTGCATCTATATTATTCAAAGCTTTATAAAAAATTTCTTACACGACTGTTCATTCGTAATATAGATTTTAATGAAGAAATTTACGAATTAATGAATTTACAAGATATCTAGTATGTAGCATAACAATATTAACCATGACGATTTAAATGACCAATGATTATATTTCTCATTGCATAGCGTTCTAGTTTGTCAACGAATGTGAAGTTTTCTAAGTATGAGAAAACTTATTCCAACTGTGAATTGCAAACAATTTCACTGTTAAAAATATAATGACTTAGAAAAGATATAGGTTCATATTTTGATTTTTCACATTTTTTTATAATTTAAGTATTTATTTATATAAAATAAACTCCTGCATTATTTGCATATTTGTCCACTTTAATATGTTCATTTATCGACATTTTATTTTTCGTATCTTCGTTGTAACACTACGCTTGCACGTTGGTTTCTTCTACGGTAATAAAACATGAGCCTTCTTGTTTTCAAACACTTAACAAACATTACTACTTCATTTGCTCCTTAATTTTAAATATTGTTGCCCGGCATCATTTGGTTTATAAAATATGTCTAACCGGATGTTTTTATAGGGGTACCTAATTAAGTTTCAGTTTCCCCAAAATTTGTTTTTTTACCACCTCTGTACTTCGTATTTGCAGCATTCACAAGAATATGATCGATGGCAGTTGTCTGTCACAGATACATTTTTACAATAAATAAGTTAACTTCCTATTATTATTATTATTATTATTATTATTATTATTCAAGAACAAGTAGCTTCTTTGAAAAATTCGAAAAGCATTATATTAAAGGGATCGACAGTAGAAAACAAATGCTATGTGGCATTCAGCAACGGAACCTTTCCTGAAAATTCCTGAAAATATTGTAGAATACTTTTTTCGGCAGTAAAGCTTAATTTTCTTTAATTAATGGACGTTTGAATTTAAATGAATGAGAAGCACTTCTGCGACCGTGTTTCTCTATCTTTCCATTAACGGTAACCTAATGGAATTGAAATTAGAAACAAATTGGATGTACTGAACGAGTACCGTGCTGGGCAGGAACAAAAGTGGAAGTAATCAGAGGAGTGATAATTCTCTCCTCTCCATTGACACCGGCTCCTGCCCGCGGCACGGAGATAACGGCGTTCATTTTTAACACGGAATAACCCCGGCTGCGCCACAGGAGCCTCACGACACAGTGCGGTGCCTCTCACCAGGAGATCCTAGCGTTCGGGGTCCCGGCCTGGGCAGGATCTTGGACGCTAGCTATATACTAGCTAGATCAAATTCAGCCGCTGTCTGATGGAAAATTCTAGCGGCCGGCTGTTTTGTTCGGTTCGGTTTTTCCGTGGTTTCTCCTATCAATACACGTGTATCAATACCCTAACAAACGAGCCATGAATCGCACGCGATATTTCCTTCCCCTTCCTTGAACTTTCCTCACCCTTTAGTTACAGCCATGCGCTACACTACCACACATGCCGGGAGACCAGCCGGGAGCTTACAACTTGCCCCGGCTGGGGCGGTGCGCCGCTGGTGGAGGGAAAACTCTGCTAGCTGATGTGAAGGTCGGCGCTGAATCTCACCAACCAGCGGAGGAAGTTCAACGCCACCTCATGCGATAAAACATGCCCTACACTTGCAGGATTAATGACATGTTAACAATCATCGATGTTTAATATTGAAATATCGATGCTAATAATTCATCTTCTAAGAACCATCTATGTTTTTTAACGTCGGTGTTAAAAACATCAGTGTTAATACATCGATGTTTTGAAAACATCGTCAGCGATGCCGCATCCCTAAACCTCGCGCGTTGCGTTTCCTTGCGCAGGTTTGACGACATGACGGAGGGCGTGGACGACTCGCTGCCGGTGGCGGGGCGCGACAGCCTGGAGGAGCAGGACGTCATCCTGGAGATGTGACCCCCGGTGCCGCTGGACTCGGGCCACTGGAGCGACGGCGGCGTGGGCGGCGTCGGGGTGTGCGGCGGCGTGGGCGGCGTGGGCGGAGGCGGCCACGAGGATGACGACGACGACGAGCTGGGCGGCGCCTACACCGGCGACAGCTGCGACAGCGACAGCACCTTCAGCTGAGCGGCCCGGCCCCGCCCCGCCCCTCTTCTACACCCATCCGCCCCTTACCCCCGCCCTCACCCGCCCACTCCTCACCCGAGCCCCAGCAGATCCCTCTCACAGCGGCTGGTTGCGTTCCACCAGAGGTGGCGTGGAACACCGTGATATTTTGGAATGTTCGGTTTAGAAGTTCTAGAGAAATGAACGATACTCCTAAAATAAATTAAGATCTATCTAAAATTGAGAGTAGTCGGTAATGTGAGGTTGAGAATAAATTATAAGCGGATGAGGTCGTCTGGAGGCAATCCGCCATCAGGATTATTTTGAATCTGGAATGAAAAGAGATTTTATGAATTAGGAGAATTTATTCTAATATAAACTTTATTTCCTTTTTTTTATTTTCAGTTTTGTTGTAATTATGTGACATATTTGTAAAGTAGGTGTATTAAAAAAGAATCACTGAAAAACCCGTTATTGAATTAGTATTTCAAGATGTATGTAGGCATATTTCTTGTCAGTCTATTCCATTTACTCTAAACTTTACATACGACCGCATTACGGTACGATGACAATTTTAAACATCAAAGAAATGTCTTTGTTAAATTTAGGATATTTTTATCTCCAAGTCAATTATTTGGTTCCATTACACTAATAAAATACGTATTTAGATATTCGTATAAAATTTGGGTAATTTAAAGCTGTCTTTCATTTATTTATCAGAGACAATTGTTAATCGGACTACGATTACTTCGATTTTTACAGCTTGATATTGAGTTCTAAAATGTGAAATTTTATTGGTAATAGTCACAATGTTTTGACTTGTATTATAACTTTACGCATCAAATTTTTTATAAGTTTGAATATTGCTTGCTCGAAATAATTGATAACATATCCAACATTATCACTTGTTTTGCACCCACTATTAGATTTATCTGTATGAAATGTCTGCGACAGAAAACCGAAATATTTTCGCGACCATCCTCTTTGGTTCAATGTTCCGCAATCACTATTAATTCTACCACCAATTTCCATTTGCTATTTTTTTACTGTCCTTGTCATCACACGAACTAGTCTAGTGGTTTTCATTGTCAAAACCAGTTTTCCTTGCAAGCTAAATTCCCTTTCATTTAGTTTCGGATATCGTATCCTTCGTCGTTTACAAGAGTAAATTACAGAGGAATCGAGTGCCTACGTTTAAAACTCTTTGGAGAGGCTCTTGGAAGCAAGTGAACATTATTTTCTAACAATATAACAAAAGGAAAACAATCTTGCTATAATTTTCTTGCACTAAAATTATTTAAACAATCAGTATATTTTGTTTTTTCACGTTTTATTGTAAATGTTTGATCAAAGAGTAGAATGAAGAATAAAGAGCAATTAATCGTACTTATGAGTAAGTACCAAGAAATAATTTAAAAAACAACAAAAGAAGACAAAAATGATTTTGTATTCTAATTTTCCGATGTTGGGTCTACAAGTTAGATATATAAAAACCAGCTTGTGAAGTCTTCAATGAGGCATCACCACCCGTAGCAGCGTTAAATTCAGAACGCTTAGTATTCCTAATCTACCTCACCATCCCTGTCTACCCTTCACCTCTAAACACACCCAATCTCTCTCGAAGGAAGCCACGCCACTCAACAGCCGCCGGCCTCAAAGAGCCCAAGTCGTACAGCGGACCTTGGCATTTCAGCCCGCACGGCCGAAAAAAAACTTTCTTTTTTTTTACCTTCCCTCGGTTTCAGAACCTCCGCTGGGAGTTGACTCAACCCCTTTGTGTATTCGATGTCGTGTTGAGAGAACAATCGTTGCTTGAACAGGCAGCATTGGTTCAGCGCTGGAGTCTCTTAGCACGCCGCTTCGCCGCTGGAAGGCCTGTTCGGAGTATCCCACTCCGCCTTCTGTTCGTGTACTTCGTCTTATGAGATAACTTCTTCGTATTAAATGTGCCAATGTAAAGCAGCAGCAAGCGGTCTGGTAGTTTTTGAAAAGGTTTCAACGGACACGGAGACACACGCTCCGCGAAGACAGGAAATTTTGCGTGCCTTTTGAAAGAACTGAAGAAAATTCTTGTGATTTTTCATGTCCTGTAGTTTCGCACAAGTTAGGCAGGAGTTAAATCAACTATCTAGTCTTTTGATGTATGCCGTGGTCCAGGTAGAAGAACGAACATTTTTTATAACGAATTTCCTCCGGGAGATCCGGCAAACTGTGTGAAATAATTGCATTGCACATACTCAGTCATACATTTTTTTAAATTTTGTACATACTGTAGCTTTCAAGGTTCAAAATTAACAAATCAGATTCAGTATATGCATCTTTATAGATTTATCTTCCGACCTGAACCGCTTCGTACGTCTTAACCCGAGAAGATTGATATTTTCTACTTAATAATGATTGCAATGATTGCGCAATTAATGATCTTTCTAGAGAGACTTCTAGTTTAATCTTCATGGATGGGCCTAATACTAATTTAGTTTTCTGGATAAGTAAGTAACTATATTATAGAATTTTGACATTTACGTATCACATATATCTATTTTAGATAGAACTACATAGACAATTGTTTAATTTGATTTTGAATAGATAGAATTCAATTTACTACTTAATTCTAAAGATATTTTCCTTGTTCAATTCTATGCTCTTGTAGGCGTTCACCTCATAGAATGAACTATGGATCACGGAATTGTGCGAAGTTTGTATTTTGTACCGTACAGAAATGTTTATGGATATATAGAACCTATTGGTTAGCAATGTAAACATTAGAAAAAATTTGTTTGTAGAGGTGAATTCGTACCGTAAGGCAGAGAGTAGTAGAGACAAGAAATAAACTATTGAGTGTGACCATTCAATTATATTATTTTCATATATGTGGTGCTTTCGTTGTACTTGCCAAATGAAGTTCATTGCTAGAACATTTTCGTGTGCGGTCACATTGCATGAGTTGGTCATGCTATTATTTGTCGGACCATGATTGTGATGTGTCAAAACATTGCCAGAGAAAATTTAAAATTAAATTCATTTATATCTCTACAATTATTTATTGCATAGTGTAACCCACAAAATGTACTTCCTTTAATGTATGTCTCCAAACATTTGAAAAGATGCACTCTTTGGAGTAAATAATGCTTGTTTTTCTGGTTTTAATGTTCAATATTAGATAATAACAAATCAAAATCTGTGCAAACGTTAATTTATACGTATGTTTTTAAACCTTTTTAAAATTCCAAAGCATTTTAGGGTGCCACGTCCCGATATTTATTGTGACCTATCGAGCAAATTGGTTATTCACGAGATTTTTAATTCGTCAGGCAGATATAAGTTTATCACATATACTTCTCGTTAGTCCAAAACAGGAAGCCTCCAGCTGCTCTGCCTTACAGTTCGGTCTTACTCCGAATTTGCACCCCATATTTCAGGAGTGCAACATGCCGCTAGCAAATCGCACGTTACTTGTATTGTGTTACCACAAAATGACATCGAACGCAGTGTCACGATCTCTTCCATATAGAATGAACAACTACTTTACAATGACGATCATGCAGTCGACATTGTAGTTGTAAATATTGATTTCTAAATTAATAGCCGCTTCCATTTGCAAATTTTGGTCAGTAACTGAAACAATTATCTTGTCTGACATTTGGAAATTATAACCGCGAGCTTTTCCCTCTGTATTTTTTATTGGGGTGTAAAAATGTCTAGTTTCTTCCATCAAACCAGACTTCAAGCAGTGTTTGTGTAACTGGGATTACTTAGTTTTCCTAAATAAAATGCGACCCTGTATTTTTTGAGAAACAAAGGAAAGAAAGAACAAATGAAGGAAACGATGGATAAACATGAATCAAAAAAGAAGTATTGCAGTGCATAAGTCCAGTTTGGTTTTAATTGGTGGAAATTACAAATTTTCTTGATGAAAGCTTTCTTCGAATTTCATTTAAATCTTGCAAACAAAAATATGTATTAAACATGCTTTTTTATTGAGATTAGGATATTTTGATATATTCTAATTGATGAATCCAATGTGTTTCTGTTCAATTGCCTTTTTTCCTTCCACTTATAGTTGGTCCTGATATCAAAGTGCAGAAGAGAATTGAGCTTGACCACTTCCGACGTCCATTGGAGATACTCAGAACTTTTATTGAGGTCTCTCCAAATCTCACAATGAATAAGCAAACAGACGGGCTGAAGTAGTGATGAACGAGCATTGCTCTCCATTAGTCATTCGATTCGTGCAGATCCTTTCATTCTCTCATCGAGAGTGCTGCTATCTCTTCGAATATAATTACCGGCGAAACGAACCGATGCGGTTTCACAAATTGACACAGGGAACAAAAAAAAAGGATCGCGGAAACGGTTATCTTTTGTTTTGTGTAATTGAGAGGGGTTTTAATTTATGACACTCCCGGAGGGGGTTGTTTGGTTTCGCATTAATGCCTGCACATTTCGCTCGCGCAGCCGCTGCTGTTATTTACATACGCGGAAATTCGACGTCCTTCTCCCATTCTCCGCATGGAGTGACCTGCCCTCCTCCCCCCTCCCCCAGCTGCGCTTTTGCAGGCAACATTTATTCCCTAGTTAATCGCATTAAAAGTCGCGCTTAGTGGATTTCAATTATTCGTCGCAACCTCGTGTAGAGCGCAGTTCGTTGCAGGAAATTAATTAATTTCCAGAGTTGTTGACCTGGTGAGTCTGGAACGGCCGCGACAAACGTCGTTTACGGGAGTAGATTGATGACATTTGACTTGAAAATTCAACGAAAATTTTCCGAAGTGCATTTTCAACAATACTTAATCTCTCACGACGTAACAAAGTTGGCTAGCATTTGAACATAGTGACTGACATCTAATAAAATAATGTAATATACATGTATTTCGTATAGTAAGAATCTACGGTTAATTATCTTCCCTCGGATTCAGTATTGTTCTGAAACCGTCAGTTTCAAACAGACCTGTATTTTAGAATATGAACTAGTTACTCTTGTATGTGTTGCTTACTTATTGTGAAGTAATTCTTGGATACATTCTAGTTGTACATTTGTTATGTATTAACAAATATTTTTAAAATAAATTGTGCCATTAATGTACATAGCTTAATCAAAAATAAAATATTAATTCATTTGTACCCAGTGGTTTATTATATTCGTGTACCTCCCTGAACTGATTCTTTCTTCCTCTGATTAAAATTGTAGTATTGCGTACCTTGATAAATAAATTGTGTATTTTTTTTATTTGAGGTCGAATATTACATGTACTTAAACATTTAAAAAAGGTGGCATTATGAAATATTAAAACTATGACGTAGGAATTTAATTCCTAACATGAAAGGTTTTTTGCTTGTATACTTTATCAAATAAACATTGGCTCATCCAAATCTTTTACAGTATATGCTCCCAAGGAGAAAATAATATTTTCTGAAGTCAGTACAAGACAATGAAATCAAATAAAGCTTGAGGAATCTACAATGCATCCGATTATTCTTTGTTTTTAATAATAATAATAATAATAATAATAATAATAGTATTATTATTACTATTATTATTACTATTATTATTACTATTATTATTACTATTATTATTATTATTATTACTATTATTATTATTAAGAAGAAGAAGGAGAAGGAGAAAAAATGGGTTGTACGTCATGAAAATCAACAATGGAAGTCACGAAATAAAAATGTAAATCGTCAGTCAGGTTTTCCTTCATGGGAAATGAGCAGTTGCTGAGGGGCCTTCATCCATAGTAGATCAGCCACGACAAAAATGCAAAAATATTCAAAAGTCAAAAATATGTTAATATCTGAAAATAATTCGTCAAAATTAAGTTTATATTTTATACATGTTTTATTAGTCTAACGTTTAGTAAACATTGGTTTTTGCAACTGAATGTATAAATTGTTGAATCTAACCTCAAACTGTTTCAAGGCCTAATTTACAGAGAGATGCCCTTCTGAATAAGTTTAAATAAAAATATATTATGCTCAATTCTCTAAACAATTTGTAAATTTTCATTTGTATAAAAAGGTATTCATTGTAGTGTGGTCTCTTTTTTTTTTTTTTTTTTAATCTGGAGGATGTTTTTTCGGGCGGGGAGCGCATTGTTATGTATTATCATGCAAGTCATTCGTCGAATCCACCAAACTTATCGATTCTCATCCTTCGGCATGGAATGGACATGCTTGGATATTCTACAGATGTTATTTACAGTAAATTTACTCCGGCGGCAATGGTGCAACGATTAGCGTATCGGGCTGTTATACCCAAGTATACGCGGGTGCAAACACGTGGATTTTAGGGCAAAAAAAATCCTTCGTACGCCTTCCTTCGGAGGGGAAGTAAAGCCGGCTGTTAGTAGATTTACTGCATGTAAAATATCCTCAAGCCTAAATGAAGCCTCTAAGCTAAATTCAAATCGTCTGTTTCATCGCCAGAGTGATACCTCCCTTCTCCGTAATTTTACAAAAATGTATTTGACTTGTCTGTTACGTTGTTAATATTTACGTACACGGCGATTTGTTCACATTATTATATTAATAAATACATGTGCTTTAAATAATGTCAGATAAAGTTTTTCAAAACTCAACCATTTTCATTGAAAACTAGCTCAAAATTCCGCATTTTCAGGAATGCTCAAACGCTATTTTTCAAAAACTGCTCCAAATTTCTTCTTCAAACTTTTGTATGGATAATACTTATTGCACTGTATAATATGACGTAAAATTAATTTGAGGTTTTTTCAAAAATTTATGATTTATATTAATGTAAGTTTTTAAAGATTTCACACGCCGATAATGTGCACATTTCCAATTTCCAATTTGTGAACACTCTTGTATTTGTGAGTTAAAAGTGCTTTCAATGACTTCTAATGAAGTTTTTCGAAAACAAAAACAAATGTGAAAAAGGGCTTCAAAGTTTGAATTTATAGTAGCACCTAAACGCAATTTTCTTAACAATGGCTCCACGTTTTTCAAAGAAAATTTGCTTTTTAGTACGAGATTTTACTGTTCTTTAATGTTCTTAAAATAATATTTCGTTCTACTGTTACGAAAACGAAAAATTAATAAATTTTATTTTAAAAAAACGTGCTTGTGCGGCGGTAGACGACAGCAGACAAGAGTATATGACAGGTCTGTATAGCTAGCTGAGACCAAAGGAAATTGAAACTAAATATTGGATAGTGTGTTCCAATCTGTAGCACCACTAGTTTTTATTATTGATCCATTGTGAATAATGTTTGTATTTATTAGAGAGAAATAAGGATTTCGTTGTTTCATTCAATCTTTTGAGTGCTTCAAAGGAACTACTTGAATTTTCAATCCAAATTACAAAATATTACATCTTTATTTATTTCAGGTCTAAATTATTTTTAGGATATATTAGTTTTCGCTCGTCCTCTCAATTATGACATTTCTCTAAGTAACTTAGTTATTGGCGTCGCCACTAATCAAAGAATTTTGAGTTTTATTAAGGGGCAAACTGGATATGTATTCTCTCTGACTAGCGGCTCTCGCTATCATTCAGAACCTGCCAGTTGTGTTTCTTGGTTGCTCCAAGTCTGTGATAAGAACCCTCTTCACGTCGCTACGGGTGTACCTTTGAAAATTGCCGATGAAATTGAATTAGCAATAATGCAACATTATTTAAAACTTGTGCTTCGTATTAATCTCAAAATGTTAGCTGTGTTTTTGTGTGAGTGAAACAATCTCTTCAGCGATGTTATTGAAGTGTGCTGGGGTGACCTTGCTTGGTGAACTGCTTTGTAACGGAAACTAGGATACTGGACGTGTTTCATCTTTAGAAATTACAACTTTTCGGACCAAAATTACATTCAAGTAAATAGTTTGTATTTACTGGATAATAGTTTTATCATCAAAACGTGGTCTACAGAAATCTTGCCGGAAAAACGCAGAAGGAAGGTATGTATATTTAATTTTTCGATATTTAGTATTTTCTCGTTAGATTCAATGCATGTGCAAAATTCAAGTTACAACAGTAACTTAATTTTTATTTGGAGTTGAAAACTTTGTAATTTTTGTTCTTTAATTTTAAGTAGACATTTACTATAATATGTGGCTGAACCCTAGTATACGGTACAACGTACGGAAGTCCGTTTCGTTTGTTTTTTTTGTTTTTTGTTGTTGTTGTTTTTGTTTTGTTTTTTGTTATTAACCGGCACTTTGGGCCGTTTTGGCAGTAAATGCGCAGTTTCAATTCTGGAGGATTTCTTAAAAAGTGCTTTCTTATAAAAGTGAACTGGTAATTATGCAGTGGATAGACTCAAGGATGATTATAGTGAACGCGAGGGCCGAAGGGCCGAGCCTCGCCGTGACTTAGATCCGGGCGAGCGAAGCGAGAAAACTTGCCGTTGAAAGTAAATTGGCATTACAATGCGGCGGTGACAAAGCATGTGAAGGAAGTGCAATGAAAGTCGCCTATCCTTAAATTTCATTCATTTTTATCAGATCGCGAGGCGTAATTTGAGAAAGGGTTTAAAGAGACCCTCCCCCCCAAACCACCAAGCTTCACTGAGGGTGTACCCAGTACCCTACTTTAACTAAATATGTATATTACTGCTTGTGTCAAGAATATAAATATTGCGTTAATTTATGATCTTAATATCCGCTCGCATTTTCTTGATGAGCCATTTTGATAGATGATAGATAAAAAGAGTTAATTGGTTACTTCGTTGGCTGCACTATCATATAAGACTGTAGCTCGTTGCCCGATGCCAATGTTTATTTTACACGGAAGTGAACATTTCTCGTTATCAAACGTCAACAACGATCGTCCCTATCTTTTATTAATAATTCAATCATGAATGTCAAAATAAGGAAGGTAGAATCAGCGGAATACAAGAAAACCTGGGCGATGTATTCTATATCATGTGCAGTTTTCACCTTGTTGATACATTTCTAGTATCATATTGCTCACTAGAAATATCTTGCAATTTGTTCGTCAATATTCACGAAAGAAATTACATCTGCATACACCTCACAAATATTTAAACATTGATGTTTAAGTTCAGAATGGTTTTGCCTACCAATAAAATGAAAGAGACTTGTTCAACATAGAAGTCATTCAAACCGGTAGTTGTCGCCTCTCGCACAGGGGAAACCCACTGTGGGGGGGGGGAGCCTTCGATGACAGTAGGTAATGTTATATCTGCCGTGTTCTAAGTGGATTTATTATGTAGCGTGTGGAAATTATAAATGGTTGTTTATGTACTGAAATGTCACGAATCAGTAAGATTCATGTAATTGCATTAAGCTTAAGTGATAAAGTGCTTGCTTTCTTGAAACAAAAGACAACAGTATTTGCCGATTAACGGCTTTACGAGTTGAGGATGCCTTAAAACGGTTTCTCATAAAATACGTTTTTAATTATGGGTTGCGCAGCCTCAAGGAGGATTTTATAGTAATCATGAGGGTCAAAGACCCCGAGACCTTCCTACCCCAACACCCTACCATTTCCTCGTCGCAACACCCTTTCTTCTCTCTCCAATACCATTCTCCCACGCAATATACTTTCTTCCCTCCATATTTCTTTCAGAAGCATGTCACTGTTCTCAATGGGTGAAGACGACTTCATCTGGCTAATATCGGCAGAAGCCAAAAGGCGAAATGTGGTTGAGTGCGAAGGCATCCTGATAGTTCACAATACGAATTTTGGCATAAAAATGAGCTAGAACTTACCCATTATTCATGGTTGTTGCATGTATCTCACGAGGCCTGACCACCCTAGCGAAAACGGAAGCATAGCGAAACGTCACTGAGGTATATGGTAGGTTGGGTTACATAAGAAACAACCCTTTAGTTTATTCTGGAAGAATTCTAAAAGAACACGCGTGGTCTAGTTTTAGTCTACATCTTTTGGTGAAATACTATGAATTATTATGCTAATTGTCAGACATAACATTAATAATTACGTCTTGATTCATCGGGTAGAGGATAATTAAACCTTATTTTGTAATTGATCAAAAAATGTTAAAAAATACAATCGATACTTTTTCAGTTACATTTGTACTTTTTGAGCAACTACATTATAATATATCATATCCTTTTTTAAAAAACTTTCATATCAAGAATAACAATTTTG